GTGACTCCTTTCTCCCCAAATGGTTTACACCTGTATTTACACTTGCAATCTCCCTGAATTTTACACTCAACAGGTGATGTTTTGGAATAATTGGCTAAAGAAAACCTCCTGGTTCCAGTTAAAACATTAACGGCAACAGGAGATGAAGTGGTCAATGAAGTATTTTCAGATCAGGTATGCATACGCCTGTATTCACTACTTGCTGTAGCATTGCCTTGCCAAAAATTAGAATGTGTACAATAATATATACAAGCCTCAGTAGACTCATAGGACATGCTATATTATGGAAGTGGAGGACGTCATCCCCCAGTTTTTTTTTTTTTTCATTCAGATCTGCTAGTGTTGTTGAGCAGCAGAATTGTAGACTCTGGATCCAGAGCACATATTTTGTGGATGGAAGGAAACTGCTCATGAGCTATGCCTCTACTCACTTGGTCAGAGGCCTTTCCCTATCTCTCTAAATTTCAGCCTATCTGAAACAGCAGGTCTCCCAGGTTGTTGTACAGCATTTGTGGGTGTGTGGAAGGTTGACACAGAGCAGAGGCAGAAAAAGAACTCTTATCTCAGCCAAATCATTTGTAAGCAGTCCAGTGGAATCCTAAATCTGTATCAAACCCACTGTTTCTAGATTATGAAATGGCAATGCCAGATTTGCCTGTATGGGATTTCAACCTTTTTCTCTTGATTGATTTCATTTCACTTTTTCTTTTTTTATTTGTGAATGAGAGCTAGCAGACCATCGGGGAGGGGAGAGGACTGAGGAAATGGCAATGTTGGTGAGAGGAACATGGCCTGAATTGATGGTCTGTATCCCAAGGAGCTCCACATACTGGAACCCAAAATAGACACCTTCTCCACTTGGACAAGGGAGGGAAAGGCTCAGGAGCAGAGGTGAGCAAAAAGTGAGATCAGCTGATAAAGCAGGGGATGTTTCCAGAAGCAGTGAGGTAAGGGATATAAGAGAGCAGGCAGGTATGATGGGGTGGAGGAGGAAGACCAGGTGGAGCAAGAATACAAAAGATACCTAACCCTTGATGCTCAGGGAGGCCTGCCTCGTAAGCTCAAGATGATGATGCCAGTCCTGCCTTGAGACCTGAGCCTGAATGTTAACATGTCAGGTGAACGCTGCAGGGTGTTCTTAGACTTCAATGTAGAGGAGCCATGCATTGGGGTTGCCTTGGAGTACCTGATCTCATACTATTATTTGTATTGCTTCTGTTCAGTATCGTGTTATGGTGGATGACAGGTACATTGTGTTGCCAATAGCGTAGAAACTAGATCAACTATCCTTATTGATCATTAATAATCTTTGCTCCCCCTTTTTTTTTACCCCTGTGGATACCATTTCCAGACCCTTGAAACAGGCAACCATTTTTTAAAGTCATGTAAGAATTATGATTCTCATAAAAGTTCTTTACAGTTTTATGTTTGAAGGAGCACAGTACTTTTTAATCTTGCTATGGGCAAAATTAAGTAGGAATTCAAAACATATTTGCACCTCCCCCCAGCCCAGGACTCCATAATCCAAGCCTTCTGCTCAAGTTGCTAAAACTCTTTGAGTTAATTCATATTTCCTCAGAGTTCCTGCCCCCAAATCAACAGCTTTTAAGTCTGACCTTCATTACCAATTGAATAACAAGCAAATTACTTTGAGAAAGCTTTCCTTCCTTTTTCTAACATCTTTTGCTTTGTCTAGCTTCTTCCACGGTCTCTGGTGCCCCTTGGAATTTTTGAAACTGTTAATATCAACAGCTGATGTGAAGCTGTGTTTTAGTTTGACACAAACACACTGGTGAAGCACATTTTTTTTTTAAAATGAACTAAACCTATTTCCCTGAAATGCTATAAATACAATAAGGCATAACAATCAAAAAGCTATCAAGTTTATCTTTCAGTATCATTCTCTCTCTCTCCCTCTCTCTCTCTTTAACTTAGAGGGTTCTCTCTGCTACCTTTTACCACAGAAAGGTGATGTCATTTCATGCTATAGGAGGTCTATAAACTTCCTATTGTTTAAATTGAAGACTAGTAATATAATGCTCACAAAATTATAGTGCTCCTTCCATGTTTCTAACTCATTGAAACTGTGTACATTTGTGCCTGAGAACCTGTAGATTTGAAACCTAGTCTGTCGGAGAAAATTAGCAGTTTTATCGCCTGAAGAGTAAAGAAATGGTGACCTGGTAGCCACATCTTAACCAAGATTTGAAAAAGACTGATCTAGAAAAAAAAGTAACTTTCAGGACTTCAGCTCCTAGAAATTCCAAACTGGCCAGCTGGCACAGGGTTTCCAGGACTTGCTATCCAAACAAGTAACTTTTCATCTGAGCTGTCAGTTTTTAGGGCTGCACATTTGGCCAGTTAGTCCTTCATTCCAAGGACCCACCACTCTGTGTTCCCCATCTCATCCTTCTTGTGGAGTAAAGATACAAAGGACTTTTTCACACCCTTCTAGGCCTGGCCCTACTGTTAGATAGCACAGTTGAAGTATTGTGAAAGAGCAACATGTTTTTGATAATTTAATTTGTTATTTTTGTATTTGCACGGTCAGGGACAGGGAGAGGTCTGTGTGGATCATTTTTCTGCATCAGACACCAAATTAACTTGAATGGCTGTGGGTACTAGACTCTAGGAATGGGGAAGAATTCCAGTTCTGTTCCATGGAGTATATATTTTATCCATTGACCTGCCATGAACCAGAACTGAACTGAGCTGCTTTAGCCTTACAGCACTTTCCTCTGCATGGAAGTGCCAATGGGTTTGTGATTCTGGCCAGGTGAGACTCTTCCTCCTCTGTCTTCCCTCCAGTCAAGGGCTGATGTTAGACATCTTCTCAAGCCTCCTGTTCTCCCTGCTAGAGGTTCTTTAGCTTTACGTAATGTGTCCATTCAGGTGCATGATTTTTAGTGGTCAGCACTTAATAGCCAAAGTTTGAGTCCTTCTGTAGACATTTACGCTGATGTTGGACTTGGCCCACCACTTTTCTTTGGACGGACATCTCATCCTTAAAATATAGCAGGTAGGTACCATAAAGTCCTCTCCATGCTGGGAATAGCAGTAACTACTGAATTAGGCAAGCTAGCGGTATAGCTCAGTGAGTTTGATATCTCTCTGTGGAGGCAGAGGTTGGGGGTTCATTTTCCTTTTGTGCCTCCTGCAAATAAAACCACCTTGTATGGCTTTGGACTACACAGTCGCAGGACACACACCCCCCATAGGGGAATGGTAAAACGTCTGAGTATTTTCTATATAGAAAATCCTGAAAAGTGTCATTATAAGTCAGAATTGACTTGATAGTACACAATAATTACTTCACTGAATTTGACCAGCACAGACAGTTGAAAATTCAATTCCATTTTCATTTTCAACAGTGGAACTCCACAAGCAATTTGGTTGATCCAGTGGAGCTTCCTGGCACATTCCTTCCCTCTGCCCAATTGGTTCAGTTTGGGCCAATTACATTGGAGGAAGCATCCAGAGCTTAGGCCGACCACCTCCCTGCTTGACCTTTGACCAGCATGGCTTACAAAAGTGGCCAATGAGGTGTCAGTAGACTGGCAATACCTCACTAAAGGAGGGTTGCCTTCCCCCATGTGCTAAGGAAAATATTATATGGTCCATTATAAAATAATCTAATTTGACAACAGACAATCTTAATTTTAGGCCTGTTGTGAACATACCATTTATTGGCAAGGTGATTGAATGGGTGGTGGTGGAGCAGCTCTAGGTGTACTTGGAGAATTAGCCTGATCCATTCCCATTCGGACTAAGGCTGTGGTGTAATACTGAGATGGCATTGGTTGCACTGCATGATGACCTAGTAAGGGAGACCTATAGGGGAAGACTGACTCTCTTGGTTCTCCTGGGTCTCTCATTGGCTTTTGATACTGTCAACCATGATATCCTCCTGGACAGGCTATCAGAGTTTGGGATTGGGTGTTTGGTGCTTAGCTGGCTCCAGTCCTTCCTCATTGATTGTGTCCAGAGAGTACAGCTTAGGGATGAGTTGTCAGCCCTTTGGACCCTAACTTGTGGTGTTCCTCAGGGGTCATCAATCTCCCAATTGCTTTGTAATATCTATGCTGAGCCATAGGGAGATCTGGCATGAAGTGTTATCAGTATGCTGATGACATACAACTCTTTCTCTCCTTTTTATGCACTGTCTGGATGCTTGGGTGCTGCCTGGTCTCAGTTCTGAAATGGGCCATGGCAAACAGAGGTGAGCTGGACCCAGACAAAATGGAGATGGGTTTCCTAAAGGTAGGTTAGTTGGTGGATAGGGTAATCCTACTGCTTACTGAGTGTGTTCAGAACCTGGGCATCTACCTGGATCTGGCTCTCTCCTGGGATTCCCGGATTGCCATTGTGACCAGATCAACCTATAATCAGCTGGGTTTATTGCATAGCTCTGCCCATACCTAGATGAAGGATCCCTTGGGGCATTGGTCATGCACTGGCGATCTCCAGGATCAACTAACTTAACACTTTTTGTGTGGGGCTTCCCTTCAAGTTGACCTGGAGACTTCCAACAGGTTTAGAATGCGGCTGTCAAGCTGGTGCTGCATGTGGGTAAATTTGGCCACATCACCCTAGTCCTGCCCTGCCTGCATTGGCTACTAGTGACATCCTGGGTCAATATGAAGATTCTGATGATCACCTACAAAGCCCTCCATGGTTTGGAACCACACTACTTGGCAGAATACCTTTCCCCAAGATCATCTACTGCACCTCGAGATCTGTGCAGGCAATGGTCCCCCAGGTGGCCACACTGAAGGCTAGGAAAACATCAACAAGAAGCTAGGCCTTCTTGACTCTGGTGCTCACACTCTGGAACTGATTGCTGGTCAAGCTGCATCTGGCCTTATCCCTACCTACCTTTCAGAGGCTGCAAAATATGATGCTCTTTAGAAATCTATTTGACGTCAACCTTGTATGATTTTTCTTCTACACAATTCACAAATCACACATTCAGGATGGAAAAGACTCAACATTTTTTTAATGTTTGAGAGAGTGAAACAGATAAGATTCTCTCACCCCTACAAAAGCTTCAGTGTTATGGTCCATGTGTGCCTTGCCATAAGTTAGAATATATAACATATTTAAGAGACATGTATGATTACATGAAGTATCTCTATTATTTACAACTTTAAAACATGGGGGAGAGGAGAATTTTGCATACCACCCCTCTTTGACATCTTAATTCATGCACATCTTGAATACATCCTTTTACAATTTCCACCAATTCATTTACTAATCTGATATTGCAACAAAGTAAATTCCAGTGAAAACATTCCTTTTAAAAAACCGAATGTGCTTACAAGACAATTAAATTGTACTATGCATGTTGCTTATACTACAGAATTAAATTTATGCAGGCATTGTATTGGTGGTCAATAAGAGCCCTGTAATGTTTCATGTTGTAAGGTTTCTTGGATCTGCTTTCTATTTTGCTCACAGGGGGCTTTCTTCAATGAAAATATCCAAGAAACAGGTACAGAAAACTAGTGCTGAATGATTAACCCCTCTCATTCTAATTGCTAAATCAATCATGATGCATTACTATAACAGGGTTTTTACTACGTTGTCTATCATAACCTGGATGTTCAGTTTTTTATTTAATTCCGCTGTAATTCCACCCAATGCTCTTTTAATGAAATATACTGTGTTGGGATTAGAGCCTGGAATACAATGGGACAAATTTCCTTTTCAGGAAACTATGTGAAATTATATGGGGGGGGGGCAATCGGAAGTAGGATCCCTGCATGATTTAATTCTGCAATAAGATTATTTCAAGTTTGTGTGGAGCATGAACATTTGTATTTTCAAAATGTCAATCTCTATCCGAATACAAATACAGGGCAGAAAAGAAAGTGGCTGCACATTTATTAATTGGAAACATGTAGGTACACATACAAAACAACAGCAGATAATGACTTTTTCCAGGACTGAGCCTTTGCTTTAATGAGCAGCGCATCAACTGCATGGGTTTCCCACAGACTTTGCTCTCAACATAAGCAGAAAACATGAGAAAATAAGGAAAGTCTGTTGTTTTGGTATCCATCAAAGCTTTCTTCCATGTGAAGAAGAGGCTAATTTGTCATTTCACACTCAAAAAGGCGTGAAAAAGCAAACTATGTGTGTGCATGCGGTGGGGGGTATGTTGGCTAGCAGGAAGGCAGTGCTGTGTCAGAACCTTTTGGAAATAATAAGATCAGCTGCTAGTTTTGCTTGATCTCATTTCTGGTGAAATAAACCAGGTTCAATTAAGCCACTAAACCATACCCTAGATGAAGCTGGTGTAAATCAGTCTGGCATCTGACCCAGAATTCTATTCAGTCTGAGTGAGCAAGTCTGTGGCCCTATACTTTATTCAACTGCCTTGGAATAAGGCCCATTATATTCCATGGGACTTATTTCTAAAGAGAGACATGTAAATCTACAAAAGAGCAGAGAAATAAAAATTAGGAACATTTTACAAAACCGCAAAGCTGCCAATCTCTAGGTTGTGCGTTATTTACACTAGGACTTTGTTCTCTTTCTTTGTAAAAAAATATAAAACAATAATTCCGACAATGCACCACAGTCTTTAAAATATATAAGACCTCTGCACAAAGAATACACAGCTGATTAAAAGACTGCTTCCCTCCAGTTTTCCAGGCAGATCTAATTTTATCCCTCTTTTGTACCAAAGAAAGAAATGCAAAGAGGAAAAAAAAAGGACTTAAAGCAATAGTGGTGGGGTAAGACATGGATTTGGGGACAGGGGGCACCTTCAGAGACTGACAGAACTGGTGCTGGCAAAAATCCCATTTCTTACTAATAGGATTTGTAAGCCTACCTCTGCTTTGTTTCTTAGAAATTTTACCATTCCCTGGCAGTCCCAATTGGAGTCAACATGTCATATCAGCAGATGATCTTCAAACCTGTTGCTACTTGCACCCTAATGGGGAAAAAAACACTGCTACATTTCTTCCTGTAAAGCTATGGGGGCTTAGAATGAATAAATCCGCATTATTGCCCAATTTAGGGCACTGACATACGCTAATGACATTGTTGAGGAAATACAACTGTGCAACTGAATGGACTTGTGGTATTTGTAGCAGAATCCATAACAACTGTGGGCAAAGCAGGACTATCCCAATGTTATTAGACAGAGGTTCCCAGCATTCCTTACTATTGGCTCCGTTTGCTTGGTCAGCTGGGTACTGCAGTCCTGCACCATTTCAAGGGTCATGCTTGGCCACCTGAATTACAGTTTAGCAGGCCACATCTTTCGGCCTGTTCCTTAGCTTCTGTTTTTAACACACCCTTACCAATACTTAGTTTCCTTGGGCACTTCGATTTTTGTTGAAGCTCTCACTATATTTTAAAAAATGTCATAATAGTGTAAAAATGTATATTTTAAATTTGAAGTCCTAAATTTGAGGCTCTACTAATGTGAGGCCTGGGACAAATAGTCCTCCTGGTCATCATTATGTTAGGTCCTAAAGGTATCTCCAGCCTGTTCTGAAATGTAATAGAATTTAGCACTTGTTTAGCAAACACCAGGCATATGTTTCCATCTAGAAACAGAATGATTGAAAAATTATATAAATTAAGTCTTCAGAGCCTGAGATGCAAGCACAATAATCCCAATTCATATCTCAAAATTGCTGACTATTATACAGGGTTCTGAAGAAAATCCCCAAAGGCTAGTGTATTCTTCCATGTGGTCTCATATATATTAATGACTCAGCATTGACTGGTCTCTTCAAGAAGCAACATCAATAGGGAGAGTCTAGAAAAAACAGTAACAAAAGTATTTTCATTTGCAAAAAAAGTCCTTTCTTTAAATAAAATAGGCAAACTATGTAGAGACAAGCCGAGTGTGTTGGGTACTAGGTTGGTGATGTCGCCGGTTCCGTTTTTTCTTCATCTCTTGGACATGTTTCCACTTTGGCCCGCCTTTGTTACGCTGCCGTTTCTTTTCCCGGTGCCACATTTGCTCACAGTACTCATCCAGACTGAAGCTGGGGCTGCTAAGAAGCTGAATGTAGTCCTTGTACCTAAGTCGTGACTCAGCTTGCAGATCCCGCACTCGCCCTTCCTCATCATCTGTCTTCTGAGAACTTTCCATCTGTCCATTCTCAATGACATTTAAATTTAACTTCACAATGGTTTGGACAAATGTGTGCTCCTGCGCTTTGCAATAATACACCCCAGTGTCCTTCTTCTGCAAACTACGGATCAACAGGCCATATTCTGTCTTGATGACTCTTTCATCAGGTTTCAGCTGTGAAAGGAAAGAAGGTGGTGAAAAAAGAAAATGCCATTAATTTACAAAAAAAAGAAGTGTAGTGAAAGTCCATGATAGAGAAACTGACAGATAATGAACCATGGAGCTTTTGATGAGACTGTTAAATGTGAGGCTATACTAGAAAATCCTAGCTGTGATAAACCTGGCTACACATTCATACCTGAACCTCTAGAATATACCATGCATTCGAGGAACCAGTCAGAAGACCATCAAACCTTGTGCTAGAGTAATTCTGTTTGCTTTCGAGATGTCATAGGTTTCCATGTTGCTTGAGCTGCAACAGACTAGTAAGTTACATTTATTTGACTGGTTAATTATTCCACTTAAAACTCGTCTTTCCTCCAATGAACTCAAGGCTATATACATATGTTTCCTCCTGCGCATTACATGTCAGCCTGAGACAGAGACTTGCTTGTGAACTCAAGGCTATATACATATGTTTCCTTCTGCGCATTACAGATTCACAACATGTCAGCCTGAGACAGAGACTTGCTTTAAGTCATCCAGTCCTTTTCATGGCTCTGTGGGTACTAGAACCGGTACTTCCCAAGTCCTGGTCCACTAATCCACAGTGGCAGACTAAAAGAACCAGAAAAATTGTCAGTACCTGAACATGCCCTGAAACAAGCTGGACATGAAATCCTGTTTCAAAACACAGAAGTACTGGACAACACCCGTAATCATTATGTTAGTACACAGGGAAGCCATTGAAATTCACAAACACCAGCACAGCTTCAACAAAAAAGAAGAAAGTCTAAAACTCAACAAAGCCTGGCTCCTAGCACTGAAAAATACTGCCTGCAAAAGGTCAGTGAACTCTCCCTAGCCACAAGGACCAATGATCACTGCACACAAAAGATTAGCTAAGAATACCCATCAATCACAGTGACAGATCATCTCTCCCCCCTTATCACAACAATACACACATAACAAAAAACACCCTGATCACCATAATCATCTGATCTCCTTAAAAGGACAAAAAGCTGATCGCACAGCTACAAATACTCAGCTATCCCACACAGTACACCAGAACACAGACAGAGTTCTAACTCCTGTCCTCTGAAGATGCCAGCCACAGAGACTGGATGTTAGGAAGAAAAATCTTTGGAATATGGCCAAACAGCCCAAAAAACCTACAACAACCTCTGGACACTGTTTAACCTATGTTGCTTTGCCTGTTAATGGTAAAGGTGGCTGGTAAGGACAAGTGATCTTATCAAGCTTGATGCCATTCAGGTGCTCAGCTTCACCTTTAGACTTTCACTAGCTCTGACCTTCTACTTGCCCCCTATAAGTGTCAGGTACCATAGCAGGCAGGTACCCCTAAAGCAGGCACAGTGTTTATGAAGACAGAACTGCACTTTTAAAATGCCAGTATGATTCAGAAAAAACTTTCATTTTCTCCTGTTAGACTCACTATTCTAAAAGCATATTATGGGCGATTGTTTCAAATGACAATTTGTGTCTAATCAAAGGGAGAAAACTCAGCATTTTCTGCCCTACACATTTCATATGGTTTAATCACTGAGCTATTATAGAGTTTGTCTTCTGGGGTCTGTTAATAACACAGAATACATATTACTAGAATTAAGGGGAAAACCACATCCATCTTTTATGGATTTTGTAACTGATGTAGTAAACATTTCCTGATGTGGAAGCCAGCGTTTTACTTCCAGTCATTTTACCATTCAAGTAACGATTCTAGTGGTAGCATGGCAAAAATGTCAGAATTCATTACAAAAAAGGTAGGTAGTTGCCAATGAATGAAGAGGATGGAACAATGAAATGTAACAAAATAACAGAGGATTAACTTGCACAGATCCATTCAGATTGCTGCTTGTTTAAGATCCCTTAAAGACAGTTGGTGGCAGATATATTATTTAAAGTATGGGCTTTCAAGTGCTTTTGCTCTTAGCCACTATACATGAGCTGTATTCAGGCATTCCCTTATCTGGCATCATCAACATGGATAGTGCAGAATTGCTTTTCTGTGACTCTGAAGAGGAGAGGTTCCTGCTTGTTTGTAGGCTCTACATACAGGCATGAACAAAGAAAAAACATGAGTTCTTGCTCATATGTAGAGCCTACATTTGAGCATGAATTCCCTTTTCACAAACCATGTGAACAAAACAATGGAGTTAGGAAGAAGGGCTAGCCTGCCACCTCTATCCCTGGTGACAATGTTAAACAAGGTGACTGAATGGGACCAATATCTCCACACAAGATATTCTGTTTCAAATACAGTGGTGCCTCACTTAACAGGCACCCTGTTTAACGACGAAATCGCATAGCGATTAACTTTTTGCGATCGCATTGCAATGTTCCCTATGGGGAAAAATCACTTTGCGATGATCGGTACCCTATTTCGCTTACCAATCATCGGAAAGCAATGATCAGTGGTTCCAAAATGGCCACCGGGTTAAAAAAAATGGCCACCCACGGTTTTCTGGGACAGATTCCTCGCTTACCGGGCAGCGAAAATGGCCGCCGTATGGAGGATTTTCACTTAAAGGTGAGTCTGAAGCTCATAGGAACACAGTGAAGGGGTTTCAATGCATTCCTATGGGCTTTTTAATATCACATAGTGATGAAATCGCTTTGCAGCGATTTTTGCTGCACCGATTATCATCGCTATGCGAGGCACCACTGTACAGATGATGTCAATAGAAATTGACATGAATGAGACAATAGTGAATTCTACTGCCACACTGAAGTCTCCACATGGAAGAATCAGCCTGATTAAGTTACACACAGCACGTACCACTGGGAAATATGCTCATTGTACAATTGAGCCATTCAGAAATTCAGGGTTCTATTGAAAGTTTTACTCTTTAAAAAAATTATGTATGTAGAAGACAAAGATAGGACAAGGGAAAGGAGGCCAAAATGATGTTGGAAAACTGCCCAAATGACACATGTGCCTTTCCAGCAAACTTCAGAAGGAACAGATTCCAGAGGCATGGAGATGACTAAATTAAATTTATTCACAGTGAGTAGATTGTACACAGTTTCTTTATGTGAAAAATATGTGGACAATTCCCCCTCTCCCTTAACATACGTACAGAGACTGGTGAGCTACTATGCAAACTCAACCAAGTTTTCAGGCAGATATGTGCAGCTGTCTTTGGGCCACCCTATGGACCCATCGACTGCCTCCAAGACCACAAGGCAGCTGTTGAAAAAAGGATATGTGATCAAGTAACAGAACATGGGGCTGACAGTCAGGGAGTGCCCCAGGGTTGCATTTTGTCCTGCCACTCACTTGTAATGTGACTTTGGGCAATGAGATCCAGATGCTGAAGGCTACTAACAAATGACCACAGTCCTTTAGTGAATTATGGACCTGCTTAGCCTTTTTTCACTGGAATAAGTACAATGCACCCAAAATTTAGGATGACAAGGAAAGGAAATTCTGAACAGAATCCACCTCTGCTAATAAAGTACATCATATGAATGAGATGTAAATCCTAGTTTGACTTGCCTTCATAGGTATGGGTGAAGAATTTCTACATTCTCCACCTTGCCCACAAGAATGGTGCAGAATTTACAGATACACTTCATACTGTTCATGCAATGCTGAGAATGATATTGTGGAGAAATTCTTTATTTTCTGCACAAAACTGCAATTGTGTGCATTGCACAAATAATGAAGACAACTGCTGTCTTTGCTTTGTGGCCATCTAAAAATACAAAAAAAAATTGTGAAGTTTTGTGGCTCACAATTAACCTTCTCAGACACAAGGGGCATAATTCTTTTTTTAAAAACCCTTTTGTTACACATGTTATGCAGACTGATATAGCCACCTCTTTGAAAACTCTTCCAGATATCTTTAGTGCTGCCACCAAAAAGTTTGCCTGACAAAGAATTCCAAACAAGTCCAAATTTGGGATATGTCAATGGGTCCAGCTTTATTTTGTTAAAAGTCATTCCGTTATTTCGCCAAGCTTTATGTAACTAACTGACGGACAGCTTAAAGCAAAGAAATAAACTGCAACTTCCAGAAGAAGGATTACATTGTTATCTCTGCTAATATTTACAAGCACTTCAGGGGAAAGGATTTAAATTGTTCAATGGGGGTAGGTGGGAAGGATCTAAGGAAAAAAACTGAGTAGGATAAGAACAGAGGCTACTTGATTCTGGACATGGCAGGCATTTGATAAATGATGCAGCATATATGATAACATTAAGGGAATTAGGAGATGATTAACGTAAGAAGAATCTGGCTAGGTGAAATCAAAGTTCAGCAAAACCTGTATCCTCTTATGAACAGCCAGATGCTTCTGAGAAGCTTCTCGTGAACATACTGTGAAGATGTGAATATTTGCTGAGGAAGAGCTGGTACACTGTTTTGGAAACTGGAAGGCCCAATTAGGTATCATGGTTAATGAATATTAATAAATATTATGTTCCCTTAATATGTCTAATCTTTTCTCTTAAAAGCCATCTAAATCCTTTTATGGAAATGAATATGAGTTAAATACTTTTTTCTCTTGTTTATATTGTCCACATTGTTTATGACCAATCAATTTGCTTAAATTACACTAAATCTAGTATTATGAGAAATTATTTTTCCTGGTTTTCATGCATAAATGAAACATGGTTTTTGCTGAGGCTGTTTCCTTTGGGTTTTTTTCCTAATTCAAACCCTTTAACTTTCAGTTAGACAGAGTCACACTGGAAGGAGAGCTCAAACAGCAAACCCAGCAAAAGTGTTCCGAAAGCTGAAGGAGAATAAGGATGGCAGTCCCTCTGTGAGCTAGAAGTTCACTTCTTACTTTTGATTCTCTCCATGCCTTCTACTAGGGATGGGACTTTTGGGATCAGAGGAATGAGGAAAAACAAGAAAAAGACACTTTTGTCAGCTAAATTCCAAAATAACTTGGCCAGCAGGCCTCCTTGGCATTTCTTCCCCCTTTATTTTTGGGAGGATCTATTGCTCATCCCCGCACTTCTTTCCCGGATAATTTTGTTTACC